CAGTGAGCACACAGCCCTGTGCAGGATGGGGTCAAGGGCCTGTCATGGTGATAGCACCATGGTGATAGCACCCGCCTGGTGTTCAGTCACATGGCTCCCTGGACTGCAGCCGCTCAGTGAGCAGGGGGTTTGGGACTATGCAGTCGGTGAGGCCCCTTCCAGTCTGAGACTGACGTGCTGAGACTATCAGTCTTCACCTCCATGCCAGCCGGGGGCCGACCCCTCCTGGACAGGCGGGAAGCCAGTCAGCAGCAGAGGGGGAGGAAGCCATCCAGATCTCCCCCACTCCCTCCACTGCTCCCCCAAATCATTTCCTCCTCTGACCCCCTGGCAGGAGAGCTGGAGAGGATTCCTGGTCTCCAGCTGGGACCTGCAAGTCTACCTCTGCGTGTCCTACTGGCTCCCAGCTCGGGTTTGAAGACCTCTGAGAGCTGCAAGGCCACCTGGGGTGAAGAAGAGGGACTGGGAGGGGCTGGAAGGATGAGCTTTCTCAACTGGGGAAGAGATAAAGGCCAACAGGACGGGGAGGGCTGGGACACAGCTCCGCTGGCAGAGTGCTTGCCTTGCATGCACAGGGCCCTGGGTCCATCCCCAGCAGCGCACACACAGAGAAGAGCCAACAGGGTACCTGGTCTCTCCGATATTCAGGAAGGTGTGATACACCTGCAGGAAAAACTGCCTGGGGATGTTCTGCAGTCCCAGCAGATTCTGCAAACAGAGATCCGGTCCAATCAGAGGCCCTGCCCAGGGCCCCTCCCACGCACCCCACTCCCCGCCCCCGGTTCCAAGCAGCCTGCGCCGGGACCCCAGACCCCTCCAGGAGCTCCGGGGGGACCACCGGCCCGTTCCCGTGGCAGGAGGTGATGGTTATTTCCGGGGAGGGGACCTCACAATGTTTGGGTCCGTGGCACCTTTCTAGGTCACCCCAAAGGGGTCTACAGTGGCACCGGCAGGCGTCCCGGGACCAGGCCCGGAGCCCGCCCACTCCGCTGCCATTGGCCTGAGGCCCCATCCCTCAGCCACAGGCCCGCCCCGCCCTGCGGCCATTGGCCCGAGGCCGCGCCGGTCACTCCCAACACCAGCCCTGCCGGAAGGAAAAATCACGCCGCCGCGCGGAGCACTGGATGGAGCTGCCGGGGCGGGGCGCTGGGGGTCCGGCCAACGTTGGTCTCCCCCCGACCACAGCCCTGGGGTCCTGGGGAGAAGGGGCTCCCCTCCCAGCTCTAGCTTGAGACTGTGGGGCCTGTTGGAGGGAAAGTCGAGGCTCAGACTGCCGGGGGACCCTGCCTGACGCCCCAAACCTGCCCGCAAACACGGAGGTGGGGAAACACGGCCCACACTGACCGATTCTGTCCTGTGCAGGTCAGGTGGCTGCAGGTCACCACCTAATCAAGGTTTTAGAAACTTCGTGGGGGCGGGGTAGGGTTGCTCCTAGGAAGGCAGGGAGAAGACACCCTCCACTCCAGCCCACAGAAGCCTTCCCCAATTCCCAGCACCAAACCACACCAAGCCCAAATAAAGGCAGACCCTCCCCCACCACCTGTGCTAAGATAGCTGGATGTGTGTGCATGGGACATACACGCTAAGTTGTTCCCTCCACCCTAACGCCAGCATGACAGCCTGCCTCCTGAGGAGAGGCAGGAGACAGTTAAAGGCACCCCAAGTGTAACCCCGTGCTTAGCACAAACACCGGGGCCACCTCCCGTGCACGTTCTCCTCTCCCTGGCTGCTCCCTCGGCCTTTATCAGAGGACAGAGGGCCAGGTGGACAGCCCCAGTCCTGGGAGGTGTGCTTTGTGGAGGTGCTGGTCACGAGGCAGGGGTGTGGCCCTCAGCCCTGAGTATACCCTTGGGGGCCGCAGGGCCCCACCTGCAGGACAGAGTTCATGTCCACTCCACACAGACTCCATTGGGTGCTCACCTACTCCACACCATGAACAGGGCTGGGACCAAGGAAGGTAAGACCCAGTAAGGGGAGTAAGTTCCTTCCTGGATAATGGAGGGTCAGGGGGTACAGTGACTCTTATAGGCATTTAAACAAAAGTGTAAACCATAGCATTTAAAATAATATCAAGCAGAAACTGGGAAAAACACAACGACCACGCTGTCTAACCAGGGTCAGGAAACCACCTGCTGGGGGAAGCCTGGCCCCAGACTTGTGACCCACCAAGGAACGGGTCAAACAGAACCAGCCTCTAAGCCCACCAAGCATCCTGTCCCGGAAGCTGACCACCACTCCACATCTCCCCAGGTGGGTCATGTACCACTGGGGGGGCCCCACAGGAGTACTGGGTGCTTCTCGTCCACAGATAGGCCATCCCAAACAGCGAGACATTCACCTCCATCCACAGACAGGTCACCCCAAACAGCGAGACGTGTACTAACTGTAAACAACAGGATGGGCTTGGCCCTGCTCCTAGGTACCCCTGTGCTGACTGGCAGTTGTCAGAGGGCAGAGTCCTGGTGGGCAGCATGCCTACCTTGATCTGTCCGAAACCAATAGTGACGGTAGCAGCGGAGGTGAACCCCTTAATGACAGGGCAGGAGATGAAGTCCAGCAGGAAACCTGGCAGCCAAGAGGAACACTGAGCTGGCCCCAGTTCCACCAGGTTCCAGAGAATGGGGAGGTTCTAGGCTGGGGGAGTGATGGGGTGGGCCTGGGGAGCAGACACTACAGCTATGGACTGATGGATGGCACACCACGTGTGGGGCGCACCAAGGGGACCCTGGGCCCTGAGGGTACCCCCTTCACACACCCACATAAGGATGGCTCTTGGAATGCAAAGGAGAAAATGCCAACCCAAGGGGCCTCGGTACCCTAGGAAAAGCAGAATTGGAGCCCCCCCCCCCGCAGCAAGGGGGCAGTCTCACCCAAACGCAGGAAGCCCATGGCCAGCTGGATACAGCCCGACAGGAAGGCCAGCAGCACAGCATACGCAGGCTCGTGGAAGGTATAGAAGGACACCAGGAGGGACATGATGGCCGTGGGGCCCAAAGTCACATCCCGGGATGTGCCCAGGAAGAAATACACAAAGCATCCCATGAAGGCAGAGTAGAGGCCGTACTGTTGGGGAGACAGTGGTGAGCACCCAGGAGGCCCAGGCCTTTAACACACGTACCTGGTGTCCAGGTGCAAGCACAGGGGACCTGTGGTGCCAGCTGTGTACTGGGCACCCAGGCAGGGTGTACCTCCCACCCTCCACCAGCCACACTACAGACTTGAAGTAAAAATGGGGCGTTTTTTCTATCTGCACCATCTTGGACTCAAGTTGTTGATGACCAGATGAAGAGTGTGTGTGTGTGTGTGTGTGTGTGTGTGTGTGTGGTGGGGGAGCTAGTGCTGCCTGTGTCTGGAGAAGTGTTCTTAAGGCCACCATGAGTCACCCCTCTGGCCCCAGCTGGACGCCGAGCTGGCTGGGTGCCCAAGGCAGTCACATGTTATAGACCAGGGGTTGCGTGGGGGCCTAGGGTAGGGCATGTGCTGGTGCCTGGACTCAATTTTGCTCTGCTTCAGGGTAGGCCCCGAGGCTGGGAAAGGTGTCAGGCTGTGGACAGGGGACATGGTTGGCAAGGGGGCCAGACACCTCACCTGGGGTGGGAGTCCAGCCACTTCTGCATAGGCCAGAGCTTGGGGGATGACTGTGAGCCCAACCGAGAGCCCAGCAATGAAGTCCATCTTCAGCCACTGCAGGGAGTAGTCAGGTAGCCACGCCAGGATGGGCAGCCTCCGCTGCATAGCCGCAGGGGAGCAGCAGCAGCTGTCTGGGGCCATGGTGGAGTGCGAGGACCTGGCCTGACCCAGAGCCTTCACTGAGGAGGGCATCCCTAGGGGGGACAGGTAACAGAAAGCAACAGTCAGGGACCCCAAGAGAGGGACCTTGGGAGAGCCCAGCAACACCAGCAGGGGTCCCGGGGCATCAGGAGCAGGCACTGTCTTTCCAGGGGTGGGGTGGGGTGAGGGAAGTCCCAGCCAGAGGGGTCAAGTTCCCCAGAGCCCGTAAGAGAAAGCCAACCCCAGAGGGGCCTGGACCAAAGGCGCAGGTCCATCCTGCACCCTCACCTCTAACTGTTCCTGAATCCTACTTGCCTAAATCTGGGGTGCCCCTCCCTCCCCATCAACGACTCTTACAGACAGCAACCTAACAAAAGGTTGACAAATGGCTTCTTCCTGGAAGCCTGAAGATGAATTTCTCATTTTTGTTTTCCCTCCCCAGGGAACGTAACCAGACTAGTGCAGACAGAAGCAGGGTCCTGGGCGGGCGCCTCCCGAGGCTGGCAGGATGCGTGGATGGGGGCCTGTAGGCCCTGATGGGGGGGCTCTGAGATTTCCAAGTGCGCAGCATGGTGAGCTCCACCCACTACTGCGGACTGCAGCGCAGATGGGGGGCGTCTCTGGCACCGAGGCCACTTCTTAGCCAGCCACCACCTGTAGCATTCTTGGCCCTAGAGAGGCCCCAGGGATTCTAGTTGGTTCTGGAGAATGACACAGGCTCCTTCATTAATTCAGGGTGCGCAGCATCCTCTAGGGTCCTGGCGCCCCCTACGCGCAGAGCTGGCTCCAGACCCCCACCCCGTCTGGAGTGCGCCTCTCTGGGCAAAATCCACTCCTCCCCACCCACCACGATGCCACTAGTCCCCGATCCTGGGATCCAAATCGCGAAGCCCGCGCTGGCTGACTGTCCGCAGCAAGCGGACCCCGAGTCCGGGCCGAGGGCCCGAGGACCTGGGAGGGGACGCTGGGGGAAGGGTCCCGGTGGGAAGGGCGCTTCCTCGGACGCCCCGGTCGGCCGTCCCCGCTCCGTGATCTCGGCCCGCCCCTACAGCCTTCTTCCTCGGACCCACTCGCCGCCCGCCAGTGGCGCGAACTCACCCACCGTGCGCCGTAACTCGGGGTCGCCTGGCGTCTCCGCAGCCAGGTCCGCAGGAATCGCTAGGGGTTGGGGGTGGAGTGGGCGGAGCCGGGGCGGGACCTGTAGTGCACGTGATCGCGGGGCGGGGCGGAGCCCGTGACCCGGCAGAGCGCGCGGACCGCGGTCGCCATGCACAGCCTCGGGCCCGCCTGCTGCTCGCTGCTGCTGGTCTTGGGACTCTGCCGGGCGCGCCCCCGGAACGTGCTGCTGATCCTAGGTGAGTGCAGCCACCTGGGCACTACTATTCCCACGGCCACCTGTTGCTGCCCCACAAAGCGGCCACTTGCCCTCTCCCCAGCAGTGCTCGGTGCTGACCCCAGCGTGCCCGGCTGTACAGAGTCACTGCCGTTTCCCACCCCATCGCTCCTCACTGCTGCCCACAAACTCTTCGTGGTTGTCTCAGTGGAGAATGCAGTGGGGTTTGGAAGGGTCAGCTCCCTTGCTCAGTACCCCGACTTCTGTCCCTATTCCTGTCTGGCCTTGCAAATCCCCTAGCAGTATCCAGAGCAGCCAAGGCTGCCCTATAGGGTGCCAGCAGAACCAGCTGGGCAACAGGGGTCAACAGAGCCCAGAGGGCGACTGGAGACCTCTCAGGTGCCCCTCCTCACCCTGTGAGCTTAACCTTCCCCTTTCAGGCTCCAAAGGTGTGGCTCAGCTTTCCAGGCCCCCACAACCCACACACCCTCTCAGAAACCCCAAGTTCCTGCAGGCCCTGCTGCTCATGAGACTTCCTGTTTGGGTGACCAGGATTGGCATGTGACACCTCAAACCCTTTTGAGGTCTGGCTTCCTGCCAGGCCCACTCTCTGATTAACTTTGTGGTCTGGGGCAGGCCGTTCAGCTAATTGTAAGGTAAACAGCTCTCTTGTCAGCCCCCCTCCCAGGGGCAAGGGAGAAGAGTCTGCCGGGGGATCTGTCCTGTCCAGACCGGGATTAGTGCTGCAGCCTTCCAGAGCCCAGACAATGGGGCCCCCAGGGTTGGGCCTGCCTTAGGTTGGGCTGCAGTAACAAGGAGCCGCAGACCAGCTGTCTGACAATCCGACAGTTATTTCTCATGATTCTAAGGCCCCCCTGCCAGCAAGGTCAGGTTCTGGGGAGGGCTCTCCTCCTGGCTGGCGGACGGCCACCTTCTTGCTGTTTTCTCACATGGCAGGGGAAGGCCTCAGTCCTTAGATTTGACCCCACCCTTAGGACCTCATTGAACCCTCATTAAAGACCCTGTCAACAGTCACATTGGGGTTGGGACTTCAACGTATGAATCCGAGGTGGAGCTTGTCAGTCAGTTGCTGGGCCATAGCCAAGTGTAAGGCGTCTGAGTGGGCTTGGACCAGGGCAGTATTTCCTCCTCGGCTGTGGCAGGATGCATTCCAAATGGCAGGACCTCAGCATCCTGATCCACCCTCCCAGGCTGCCGGGTATGCCATCACTCATGCCCAGTATGTCCAGCAGGATGGAGGATGGTGGCCCAGCTGGACCTTGGCCATTCACCTCTGTTCAAGGAGTGGGCAGCCTCTGAGGCAGGTGTAGAGGGGGTTGCCCTGGGGCTCCCAGAGCAGAGGGAAGAACTTGGTGTGGCTGAAGGAGCTGGGAGGCCTGTCCCCACTGCCCACTGCCCCGCTGTGTGGACATGGGCTCTGCACCTCACCTCTGGGCTTCAGTTGCTTCGTGGTCTCTAGGCCTTGGGGAAGGGGGCTGTGTATAAGTGAGAGGCGGGGATGGAAGCACAGAGGAAGATTCTCAGAGGTGCCCTGGGCCAGCTCTCCTGGCCACTGCCTTGTACAGCTATAGAGCCTGGGATGCCCAAGCTTGGGTTGTGGCCAGCAACCCCCTGTGACGTGCCGGGTTGCACTGTGCTGGACTATCACGCACCCATGGACGTCAAGCTGTGGGGTTGTCCCGCCCCACGCGTAGCACGTCGGCCCCCTTCATAACATACCCACCTGGGTGCCATGCTTGCTGGATACCAGGCCCGCCTGGGTCTTACCCCTGCCTGCTGACACCCCCAGGCATCCTGCCTGCCAGGTATGCCGCCTGGCTGTCATGCCCGCCTGGGTATCACATGTGTGGGGTGTCATGCCTGCCTAGTTTCATGTGTGAGGTGTCATACCTGCCTGGGTGTCATGCCCCCTGGGTGTCACATGTGAGATGTCACACCTGCCTGGGTGTCACATGCCCTTGATATTATGCCTGCTTTGTATCAACCACTCAGATGTGCTGCCCGCTGGGTGTCTTGTCCTCCCTGGCATCTGTGACCCAAGCCTCCACAGTAGCACCCATCTCCCCGCTCCCACACACTGTCCCTCTGACCCAGCCCCATGCCCTGTCTCCTGCCTCCCCCAGCGGACGATGGAGGTTTTGAGAGTGGAGTGTACAACAACAGTGCCATCGCCACCCCTCACCTGGACGCCCTGGCCCGCCGCAGCCTCGTCTTCCGCAACGCCTTCACCTCCGTCAGCAGCTGCTCGCCTAGCCGTGCCAGCCTCCTCACAGGCCTGCCCCAGGTGAGGGCCGCCAGGGGCCCATCAGGATCCCCGCCTCCCTAGGGTGCTGCCACTTCCTTCCCATCCCCAAGGCAGGCACAGTGGCCAGTGTCAATGGCAGACCCCAGTTCTGACTCCCCACCCACCAGCAGAGCAGGCTCCAAGGCTCCTCCCTCTCTGTGCCTCAGTCTCCTCACCCATAAAGTGGAGGCCCAGCAAGACTTGGCTCACAGGGCCCGAGGGGTTGGCCGAACACGGCTCTGTGGGCAGAGCATGCAGCAGCCTGCACGCTCAGCCCAGCTGCTGCCCCGCAGTGTGGGGCACCCCCCGTGGCAGGACCTGTGCTGTTAAGGCGCTTGCTCTTTTACTGTTGTGAGAAGGACGTGACTTTGACATCCTCACGTTTATTTACTAGTCTGCAGTACTAGGGATGGCACCCAGGGCCTCACACTTGCTGGGCAAGTGTTCTGCCACTGGGCCACACCCCAGCCTTCTTCCAGTTTTATTTTGAGGCAGGGTCTTGCTCAGCTGCCCAGGCTGGCCTTGAACTTGCAATGCCCTGCCTCAGCCTCCTGCGTTGTCGGGAGGTCATGCAGGCCACGTGCCCGGCCGCGTGGCCCATGTATCCCGTGGCACTAGTGCGTGCCTTCACTTTGCTCAGCCCTACCTGTTCATCTTCAGAACTTGCTCCTTTTCCCAAACGGAGACCCTGTCCCTGTTGAACAGTGACCCCCAGGGCTCCTCCCCCACCCAGCACCCCCCTTCTGCTTTCTGTCTGAATTCGACAACTAGGGACTCCCGTGGGTGGGACCGTACAGCATTTGTCCTTCTGTGACCAGCTTGTTTCACCTAGCATGTCCCCGAGGTTTGTCCCCATTATAGCATGGGTCAGAATTTTCCTCTTTTTTGAGGCTGAATAACGTTCCCTGGTACAAGTGGTCCCATGGTGCCAGTCGGCTCTGTCGGTGCACGCGGTGGCTTCCACCTCTGGCTGCTGTGAGGAGAGCTGAGTGATTGTGGGCGTCTGGGCTCTTGTCCTGCGTGTGCGTCTTGTGATAGTCCCTTGCTGTAAGCAGGTGTGCGCGCTTCACGTCTGCCCCAGGGAGGCCGTGCTGAGCAGAAGGCGCTCATGGTCACCGTGGGTCTCCTGAGGGGTCCCTGGCTTCTGGGCGGTGGGGGTGGGGAGGCAGGGCTCTTCCTTTCTTCCTCACTGTCCCTCTTCCTAGACCAGCTGCAGCTTTAACGTGTGTGGTTTCTTTGACAGCATAAAATGACAAGGTGTTCCCTCATAATCTGCAAGGTGTGATGGTAGCGGAAAGGTGGAAGGTGCAGGGGCTCACAAAGAGGGGAGTGAAAGCCTCCTGTCCCGGGCACCTCCAGGTTCTCTTCCTCTTGCCCTGGCCCTGCTGCCATGGAGGGGCCTGTTGGCAAGAAGCAGGTCGGGGAGGAAATCTCCCTGGGTGCTGGCCATCTGAGAGGGGCGTGGGTGAGCCGCGAGAGCAGGAGCTGGGGCCCAGCCTTACGGGGTCCTTCCTGCAGCACCAGAATGGCATGTACGGGCTGCACCAGGACGTGCACCACTTCAACTCCTTCGACAAGGTGCGGAGCCTGCCGCTGCTGCTCAGCCAGGCCGGCGTGCGCACAGGTGAGGCGCCATCCCCCTCTGCCCTGTAGAGAGAAGTCACAGCCTGGGAAGTCCACCCCTGAGCTACCCTAGTTCTGCCCTGGGCCCTTGTCCCAAGGACCTGGGCTGCAGCCTCCTGGCTGGGCTGGGGCTGCACAAGAACCCACCAAGGGTCTGGGCTGCCTGCCTGCCGCTGTAGCACACTGGGCTAAGGGTGTGGGGGGGACAGAGAGGACCCTGGACCAGCCTCTGCCCACCCCCAGGCATCATCGGGAAGAAGCACGTGGGGCCGGAGACCGTGTACCCGTTTGACTTTGCGCACACAGAGGAGAACGACTCCGTGCTCCAGGTGGGGCGGAACATCACCAGGATTAAGCTGCTGGTCCGGAAGTTCCTGCAGACTCAGGATGACAGGTTCGGGGAGGCCCCCTGCATTGCTCTCCCTGGTTAACCTGGACATCCCAGAGTCTTCAGTGGGGATTCCTGGAGCCCCCAGCTGCTGGGGCGGGTGGGGAGAGAAGGTCCCGGACACTCAGGGCAGAGGAAGAAGGAACGTGGGGAAATCGAGGCAGTGAGGTGATGGAGACCCTCAGACAGAGGAGTAGGCGAGGCCGAGAGGCGTCCTGGCTGAATAGCACAGGGCCCTCAGGGTGGTGGGCCCAGCTGGCCGACCTGGACCTGGACACCGAGCCCTCCCCCACATTCAGGCCTTTCTTCCTGTACGTTGCCTTCCACGACCCCCACCGCTGTGGGCACTCGCAGCCCCAGTACGGAGCCTTCTGTGAGAAGTTTGGCAACGGGGACAGCGGCATGGGGCGCATCCCAGACTGGACACCCCAGGTCTACGACCCTCAGGATGTGCTGGTAGGAGGGGTCCCTGCCGTGACCACCTGAACCCAGGACCCTACCCTGCTCGCGCCCCTGGCCCCAGATGATGAGACTAGCCCAGAGGAGGAGACCTCTGCCTAAGTGGGGTTCAGACCCCCTCCGTGGGGCCACAGGGCACCCTGGAGACGGGAGGTGACCCTCCAGAGCAAAGCTGTTCCACTGATCCATCCACGGGAGGAAGATGGTGGCTGGCACCTGTGTCTCCTACCCCAGTTCAGTGGTGGGTCCCCCAATCTGAGCCTGACTTCCCACCCTCCTACCTCCCCAGGTGCCTTACTTTGTCCCCGACACCCCAGCAGCCCGAGCTGACCTGGCTGCTCAGTACACCACCATCGGCCGCATGGACCAAGGTGGGTTCTAGGAATGCAGGCTTCGAACCCTGCCCTGGGTTGGGTGCCCCTCAGCTGGGTTGGGTCAGCAGAGGAGGGTCCTACCCACAACAGAGTATGAGCAAGGGTCGGTGTGGAAGGCCCTGTGCCAGGCTGGGCAGAGCTGGGCAGAGCCTGCATTCAGGCTTGGGCAGGCGCAGGTGGCCCTGTCTCCAGGGGCACCTCAGCCTTCTCTGAGGTCACCTGCTGCAGAAGTCTCCTGGCCAGGCCCTCAGGTGCCCCATAGGCTAAGTGAAGACTCCAAACACTCTCCCAGCAAGGGGGTCCGAGTCAGGGTTGGGTTGGAGCTGCCTGGATTGTGCTGAGGCGGGACCCGGGAGGTGTGCTGGTTTTCTGTGGCTGCTATGACCAAGTACCACAAATGGGGGTGCTTAAAGCAGCAGAAATTTGTGCTCTTCCTGGAGGCCAGAAGTCCGAGGTAAAGGTCTGACTGGCCTCACCCCCTCCAAAGGCTCAGGGGTGTCCAGCCTGTCCAGCTTCTGGGGCAGGGAGCCCTTGGGGTCCCTCAGCTGTGGGAACGCTGCTGAGCTTCAGCCTCCACCTCGTGTCCCTTTGCTGGGTCTTGTCTGTCTCCTGTTCTTACAAGCACCCTTGTCATGGGGTTTAGGGCCCACCTGGGGACTTCAGGATGCTCTTGTCCCCAAATCCTTAACTTACATCTGCAAAGTCCCTTTTCCAAATAAGGTCATCTTCTCAGGTTGGGGGTGGACATATCTTTAGGGGGCGCACCTTCAGCCTGCTGTAGAGGGTGGGGGCTTTTATCATGTCTCCGCTGGTGCCTTTAGGGGTCCCGGTAATGGTGGGTGAAGGGAAAGTCTGTCTTCAGGCTGTCCCTCTTGACTTCACTGGATAGATATGAAATTCCAGAAAATACAGAAACCAGTGAGGGGCAGGAGCAGCCGCCTGGGCATGCCGATGGTGACAAGGGATGACCAGGTCCCTGGAGGCCCCTGAGCAAGAGGCCTGGGTTGGCAGGAAGGATCACAGGGGGCTCTGGGGAGGTAGCATGCTCCAGCCCTGGGCTTAACCCCCAGTATGTGGGTGGGGGGCACCAGGGGTGTTGGAAGTCCAGAAAGTGACAGAGCCCAGCGGCCAGGTAATGAGGTGCAGGGTGAGCACACTTGTCCAAGTCCCTCTTCACGCCTGCAGCTGAGCCTGTGCCCCTGCACCCCAACAGGGATCGGGCTTGTGCTTGAGGAGCTGCGTGGAGCCGGGGTCCTGAACAACACCCTGGTCATCTTCACATCCGACAATGGGATCCCCTTCCCCAGCGGCAGGACCAACCTGTACTGGCCGGGTACCGCCGAGCCCTTGCTGGTGTCCTCTCCGGAGCACCGGCAGCGCTGGGGCCAGGTCAGCGAGGCCTTCGTGAGCCTCCTAGGTATGGCTGTGTCTGCCTCGGGCAGGGGAGGGTTGGAAGTGGCCATCTGATGGGACTGCTACGGGCCAGGCCCGACTCTGCAGTGTGACCCAGGCAGGGAAGGGACAGCGGCTCGTTTACATGCATGAGTACCAGAATCATCTGGCACGCGAGTTAATGTCCAAATCACACCCCAGAGTGCCTGACCAGTGCCCAGGGGTGCCAGCACTGTGGGCCTGGGGCCCCACTTAGAGAAGCACTTACCCATGGTGCCCTAAGGCAGCCCTGGGTTGTGCAGTTGCGTAGGCAGAAGCACAGGTGCAGGAAACTGAGAGAGGCTGAGGAGAGCGTGGCCCGGGCAGGAACCGGCCGTGCTCTGCCCTCTGCTCACAGGAGCTGCGGGCAGGCTGGTCAGGGCAGCTGGGCCCCTGGGTTCCCTCCAGCTCAGGCCCATGTCTCTCTTAGCCCCAAACCCTGAGCCAGGGACGCTGTGACGGCATGCTGCGTGAAGGGCTCTCTGCCTGGGGCGTGCACTTCCTGGGTTTTAGAAGGACTCCAGTGTCACCAGGCTATACTAGTAGAGACCAAGTGGCCCAGGGATGGCCAGACCCTGAGGGTGTCCTCCCAAAGCAGCACCCCTGCTGGCGGTGGCTTCAAGGTGGCTTAGACGCAGCTCTTCCCCAGGCTCTGCCCTCAGGGACCCTCCTGAAGCGCCCTCTCCTTTGCTTCCAGATCTCACGCCCACCATCTTGGACTGGTTCTCCCTCTCCTACCCCAGCTACACCATCTTTGGCTCCAAAACCATCCAGCTCACGGGCCGGTCCCTCCTGCCAGCACTGGAGGCAGAGCCCCTTTGGGCCACCGTCTTTGGCAGCCAGAGCCACCACGAGGTCACCATGTCCTACCCGATGCGCTCCGTGTACCACCAGAACTTCCGCCTGGTGCACAACCTGGGCTTCAAGATGCCCTTCCCCGTGGACCAGGACCTCTACGTCTCGCCCACCTTTCAGGACCTCCTGAACCGCACTGTGGCCGGCCAGCCCACGGGCTGGTACAAGGACCTGCACCACTACTACTACCGCGACCGCTGGGAGCTCTACGATGAGCACAGCGACCCCCGCGAGACCCAGAACCTGGCTGCCGACCCCCGCTTCGCCCAGGTCCTGGAGGCGCTGAAGACCCGCCTGGCCAAGTGGCAGTGGGAGACCCATGACCCCTGGGTGTGTGCCCCCGAGGGCGTCCTGGAGGAGAAGCTGTCTCCACAGTGCCGGCCCCTCCACAACGAGCTGTGACGTGGGGTGTCACACGGCCTCTCCTCTCCTGAAGGGGAGACCCCATATGCCCTACCTCCTCCCTTGGGGGGGATGCCTCCATAGCAGGGGACACTGTTGTCCTCGAGTCTGAGCCGTGCCCTGGCACAAGAACTGTGGGGGGTAGCCTGGGACAGGGTGGGATCCCCAGCCCAGGCTTTCAGGGTGCGTTTGGGGATCCCAAGACAAAAGGGCAGGGACCTTGATCAGTGTGAGGCACCAGGGACATTTCTGACCCCTCCACTGGAGGCAGCCGGACATGGCCTCTGGCGTTACCAGCCCTGCTTGGCTCCACTGCCTTCCTTTGCCCACAGCCCCGCATCCGCCCCAGGGGGTTCTCACTGGTTCTTGGTGGTGACAGGTTTAGTCCTGGGACCTTGCTGGGCAGAGCTGGTCCTTCTTTCTGAGCTGCTGGGGACGAGGTGTGAAAGGGCACCCTGTGGCTTGGGTTGTTTCTTGTGTGACACCAGGGTCTGGCTCCATCCCTGCCTGCCTCTGCGTGCCCAGAAACTCAGCCTTGAAAAACTAGACAGAGGGTCCTCTCCCTCTAGCGGGGTCCCCTGCACTCCACTCCATATGGGCCTGGGGTGGGAGGAAACCACAGCCAGAGCCCTGTAAAAGCCGTTTATTCCATAAAACACACGGAATCCACTTTCTGAACTCATCTGTGATAGTAGCAACCTGAATTCTAGGACAATGTCCAGTCCAGGGACACTTTTTGAAAATGACATTCGGTCTACAACAGCCCCAGGAAGTGAGTCAAGTCCAGGTAGGGCCCCTTGCCTAGTAGTCCAGGGCCGAGCATGGAGGCCACCGGGCACAGACCCCCTGAGAATACTGTTTAGGAACTTTATTTACAGGTGCACATGCAGGTGTCTGTGACCCAGAGGGACGGACACAGCTCCCAGGCCTCAGGAGCTGAAAAAGTCAGCCAGGGCCACATGGCACGGGGTCTGTGCCTCTGCCCTGGGCAGGGGTGGCAGTAACCTTGGGGACACTGAGGCTCCCAGCCGGCTGCTCCAGGGGCTGTGGGAGGTTCCCTTTGACATCTTGAAATGTGAAAGGAAGGGCAGCCCGTGATCAGATGGCGAGTTTATCCAGTTGTCCCAAGAGGCTGGGGCCCCTGGCTCTGGAGAGCCCACGTACACACTGCAAAAATGTCCCCAGGGCCTCTGGTTCAGCCCATGCCACGCCCTGGTGAAGGGCGGAGGGGTCACAGTGGGTATGGGTGACCACTCTGTGCCCCACCGTGGTGAGGGTGCAGAGTGAGACCCCAGCCAGAGGGGGAGCCGGGCCTGCATGCTGAGCTGTCCCGGCTGTGCCCCGAGGCTCTGGCAAAGGACAGGATGGCAGTGACATGGGGGTCCTCACAGCCCAGGGAAGGATGTCTCAGCGTCAGTAGGGGCTCTCTTCCGTCCACACCACCTTCTTCTGCTCATCTGTGATGGCCAGGCGGACACAGCCCAGCAGGACGTCCACGTCACTCCAGGCATCAGGGGCCAGGCTGCTGTACAGGCAGGGCACTTTGTCCAGGTCGGCCTCCTCCTGCCTGGCCGCCTCCAGGAGCTGCTCCTCCGAGGTGCCCAGCCGCTGCAGGCCTTTCCTGGGTGGCAGAGACCGTGGGGCTTCAGGGCAGAGCAGGGTCACCTGGCTCCCCCAGAGAGAGCCAGAGGCACAGCACCTGCCCAGACACCCCTGGATGCAGACAGTGGCCCACCTTGAGGGGACCTCGTAAAGAAGCTAGGACTGAGCCGGGCACAGTGGCACACGTCCGTTTTCCCAGTGCCTTGGGAGGCTGAGGCGGGAGGATCACCAGTTCAAGGCCAGCCTCAGCAACTCGGAGGCCCTAAACAACTTAGACTCTGTCTCTAAATGAAATATTAAAAGGGCTGGGGGTGTGGCTCAGCGGTGAAGAGCCCCTGAGTTCAATCCCTGGTGCCCCCACCAAAAAAAAGCTAGGACTAGGCCCCCAAGTGATTTCCACCAGTGGGGGCAGTCGAGCTAGGCCAGGAGGCAGGTTCTCATCTGGAGAGGGCAGGTAGACCTTCGTCCTGAAGTTGGGGGTATGGTGTTTCCAGGGCAGAGCAGCGTGAGCTCTGGAAGCCCCTCAGCAGGCCCTGAAGCTGGACACCTGTGCGTTCTGAAGCTCAGTGCCCGTCCAACCCCACTTCCAGCCCCCAGTGGGCACCTACTTGAGTTTCTTTGCATTCTTCTCATTGATGGAGACATGGATGATGATGGGGAAGATGTCCATCTGATGCAGGCTACGGACGCTGTCCAGTCGGACATCAAGGAGAGCGTGAGTGTTCTTAGGGGGAGAGAGAAGGAGGAAATGAGTCAAGATCCTGGGTCTCGGGCCTTAGGAGGAGCTATGAGATGCAGAGCCTCGTACTTATAGCTCCTCCCAGGGACCGTCTTCCTTGCTTGAGCCTCGAGCACCGGAGCATCGGCGTCTCCATTCTATTCATGCATTTGCTAACTGTCTCCTGAGTCAAGGGAGCTGAGGATCAAGGAGTCAGCTTGCCAAGGTCCCATGGATCTGGGTCCCTCCCATGGAGCATCCAGCTAGGGTGTCCAGGGCCCCAGAAGTTGTCCCCAAATCCTCCCAGCCCAGGAGGGAGCTGCGGACCCTGGAGCAGCCCCAGGCCCACCCCTACCTCTTCCATGAGGGACTCTACAGCTTGGCGTGTCACCCAGCAGCGGCCATGAGATTCCTGTCCCTCCTGGATGATGTCCCCTCTCTGGCTCCAGGTGTCATATTCCTCCTGGCTCAAGTACTCTAGAGATGACATCGGGCAGGGCCGTCACACCTGGCTGCACAGGGATCCTCAGGGGACCCACGTGAATACCCATGCCCATGGGTGCCACTAGCCAGCCCGAGAAGCTCTAGGGTGGCCACTTCCCACCAGGAGGAGTCTGTGCTGGACACTCCCACCCTGAAAGACCTGGACGCTGCAGGGACACCACCAGGGTAGGGACGCGGAAGGGATGGGCGAGCGGATGGATGTCCAGCTTCTTACGGCTGGACGTTCCCTCCTTAGATCACTGTTGTTATCCAGGGGCACTTTACCCTCAGGGGACATTTTCAAGGGCTATAGCTAGAACAGGGCTCTGCTATGACATCCAGTAGGATGAGGCTGGGGTGCTGCCCAACACCCTCTAACCCCCCCACAGTGGACATGGCCTGGCCACGCGAGTCCTGGTGTGCAGCTGAGACCCCGCTGGGAGCAAACCTGGAGCCCTCCGGGCCCTGCTCCTGAGTGGCTGTCCTTGTCTGCCAGGCCCCAGCTCAGAGCTGCACCCCCTCCTCCTGACCACCCCCCCACCTCAGCACCCCTGATCTGGGGCTGCCAGGTGCCCTTCCTCCCTGCTGAAGCTTTGCCAGCACCTCCCTGGCCCAGCGGCCCCGAAGACCCTCTCTGGGCTCTGCTCTAGCCACCTCCCATTCTGTTTTCGAGACGGGCATCAAAGGTCAAGCCCCCAGGTCTTTTCGCTGACTCCCCGGGCCTCACCCGTCCCGCGTGCAGTGGCGCAGGCCTTGTGCCTTTCCACATCTGCCCATTGCCTGGGGATTGGCGGCTCCCCCCTAGAGCTGCCCCTCCTGGCTGGCCCCCACCCCTCCCACACAATCCACCGCTACCCCTTTGGGCCACTTACGGGGCTCTGCCCCTCCCACGGGCCTGCCCCAGGTGTGCCCAGGCAGCTGTTTCTGAAGAAGTGGTGGGGCTCGGCATCTCCAGCCGCCCCTTGGAGCCTGGCCACTGTCAGTGCTCATGAAGGAACCTCCTAGACCGCACCTGCTTCCTTTCCTCTTGGAAAGCCAGAGGTGGCAAAGACACCGGGGTGTAACCCAGCACCTGCCAACAGCCTCTCCTGCTGCCCGGGACTGGCGGCTCCCCTGGGAAACCGCCTTGAGTGGCTCGGGGGCAGGTGGCCCTCCAGCTGCGCTACCCCAGGGGGTAGAAGCCGGTTTGCCAACAGTGACTGTGGGGGTGGAACAGTGCCCCCCATTCATGTCCACACAGAACCTCAGATGGAACCTTAACTTGGAAATAGGGTCTTCAGAGCAGGCCAGGTGAGGTCTTGCTGGATCGGGGGGTCCTAAACCTGATAACTAGTGTCCTTGCACGAGAAGGCCATCTGAAGACCCAGGGACACAGTGAGGCGGGAGCCGTGCAGACACAGGCCAGGGAATGCCAGAGGTCCCCAGAGCTGGGGGAGGGAAGGGGGCACCTGACCTGGAGCCCCGAGGGGCGTGGCCCTGCGGAGGAAACCCACCCCGTGACCTTCACCTGCCGCCTCGGGAGCAGACAGAGCCTTTCTGGCAGGGCCAGGTGAGAGCGCACCTGCTGGGCACTTCCCAAACCCCTGGAGGAGGCAGAGCTTCCTGCTCAGGATCTTCCCGACCACCCTGGGCACCAGGAGCACGGGCCGGGGCCGGGCGGGCCTGTGGGGGTGCACCAGGCTGTACGGCGCCAGGGTAAAGCAGCTCTCGGCCCAGAAGCACGCGCTGGAGCAGTCTGTGGAGGAGAAGGCTGGTGAGCAGGGGCGCCAGGCCGCGGCTGCCCCCTGGAGCCCTGCTGCTGCCCCAGCACTACAATAACAGGACTCAGTCCAGCACCACTGATTACGCCTTCCACCCCACCCCAGGCCTCCCAGCATTTCCCTGGCTCAATAGTAAACAGGGGGGAGAGGGCGGCTCTCCAGGCTCAGGGCTGATGACCCTGACATCCTGTTTGACCCCAGAGGTCACAGAGGAAGCAGATTTTCTCCTTCCAGAGGAGGATCTGGGAGAGCCGGGCCCCTTCCCCAGTCCTGCCCCCAGGGCTCCAGGTCCCCAGCCTGCCCCTGGGCCCTTCCCTCTACTCCTGAGATACTTGTGCTGCTCCCGGTCCTCAACAGCCACCTTGTTCTGGGCACTGAAAGAAAACTTCAGGGGGAAAATAAAACAAAATGATTCCTCTTGTTCTAACTTGGCTTCTGAGGGTCTCCAGTGAGCAGTCTTACCTGCCTCGGGGTCTGTGCCAATCTGGCCTCTACCATGACCTCGTGCACACACTGGTGGCTAAGTGACCATCCCCAGGGTCCACTGGCTTGCATGAGGTTGGTGGGTTTCAAGTTTTTACTATTCCAGAAAGACGGCCATGGATAGGTTGTGCCAGTGGCATCTGCACTATTTCCCTGGGGCAGGTCACAGAAGTCATGGAGGAGGGAGTGGCAGTTTGGAGGACATCACAGATATGTAGCTTAGTGGCCTCCAGAAGGGCGTGTAGACGTCAAATACATGCCCTGTATTTTAAAAACAGACCCTGGCCTGGGCAGGAGGCCTCAGGCTGAAGAAGCTGGCCCCCCAGGCCAGCAGTGCAGCTCCCCGGGTCTCACCTTCTGCCCTGCTGGGGTCCTGGCCCTCACCCAAGGATGAGCACAGAGGACCATCCTTGGCTCTGTCCATGCTGACGATGCGCACCAGCTTCTGAGTGCCCCCGGAAGACTGCCACGGGAGGGACGGGGAAGGGAAGAGGGGTGAGGAGGAGCTGCTGACCACACGGGGCCTAAGGCCCAGCCTCCCAACCCTGCCCCCAAGCAGATCCAGTGTGGTCTCTAACCATCAGGCTGTGCCCAGCGGACAGGGGCAGGAGGCAGGGGAGGGTCCCCAGGCAGTCAGCCTAAAGCAGAGGGAAGAGCAGCATCCCCACACCTAAGCACTGCCGGCTCTGGGACAGGACCATCCTAGCTGCCACTTGGTGACAGATGGGTACTCAGCAACCCGCCCCATGCTGTGTGCAGAGGAAGGAACGGGAAGACCAGCAGCCAGACGGGGCCAGGCAGGTGAGGCATGGAGCAGCTACGTGTGAGAGCAGGACCCACCGGGTTTGCACAGCGTGTTCCAGGGCCTGCGCGCAGGGAGAGGCATGCAGACCCCTGCAAAGGTCTGGAGGGCCCATGGGGACAGGCGCTGCCCTGCTCAGATCAGCTCACACCTGCCCACGGGACCCCGGGCCCACACCCACACCCTGGCAGCCCACCCAGGGCCTCACTTTGCGGGCAACCGTCCGCTGTTGGGTCACGTCCTGGATAAGGGTGATGAGCTGCTGCTGAGCCCTGAAGGGACAAGGAGAGGCCCCTGCCCAGCTGCCATGGCTGCTCTCGCGTCCAGGAGCACCAGGCAGGAGAGGTGTCCCTGCCCGCTGGGCTTCTAGCAGGAGTGCTCGACCCTGGCAACGTTCACAGTCCCCAGGGCTTAAAAGAGACCCCAGGGCCTAGCCCCCTCCCCAGATGCTCACTCAGGGGTTGTGGGGGAGAACCCGCATACTCTAACGAGTGGCCAGGCCCAAGAACCTGCTTGGGAACCTTGCCACGGGCACTGCGGGCAGCCCATGTCACTGAGAGCTCGAGTCAGACCTGCCCACGGGCAGCCTCTCCAGGGCCTGCTGGGGCCCTCACAGCAGACGGGCGAGAGGTGCTGGACCGGAGTGACCTCTGTGCACCTGAGCCTCCCAGGTCCCCACAGGTCACTCTAGGACGTGCTTACGGCGGAGGGTGAGCAGCTCTGCCCAGTTTTCCCAGGACTGAGGGGCGGCCCTGGATGTAGGGCTTTGGGTCTTGGGCAAACCAGGGGACATTTGGCAAGGTGTGGGGACACTTTTGACTCTCACAACTGGGGGTGAGGCGTCCCTGGGGTGAAGGCCCACCAGGGTGACCAGCCCCAGTGTGATGGGGCCAGGGCTAGAGCTAGAGCTCGGGAAGACCTGAGGTCCCTCCTTGTCCAGGGCAGAGCCCCGATCCCCAGCAGTGATCTGGGCCACAGCCCCTTCTGTGGAGTGTCCACCCCTTCCTCCCATCCTGAGGAGGGGCTCTGCAGCAGGGGCAGAGGACAGCATCCCCCGGGCCTCTCCGGGACGAGTGGGCTGGACCGCTCCTCACCGTGGGTAGTTGGGGATGGCCCCGTGCTCCGCGTCCCTCATGGTGTAGGGGTTCACACGGTGGGCGCACCAGCAGCCGTGGCCCTGGAACACGGTGTCTGTGACATGCAGGACCTCATTGCAGTGCACCTGCAGCTCCCCCGGCCCCTTGGCCTGCATGGCCAGGTTGACCCGGATGTAGAAGGAATCTCCTGAGGTCACCACTTTGGCCTCCAGGTCCTGGACCAGCTTCTTATAACCTGATCAAAGGGACTGATAAGCTCAGGTTCCAAGGAAGGTTCTAGAATGTGAAAGTAGGACAGAAAGAAGGGCCCTCCCCCAGTACCTTGGAAGATAATTAGTAAAGTCAGCGGGTCGGGGACTTCCAGCTTAGGGCCTGGGGACTCAGGACACAGCTGACTGAGCAGCTCTGGGGAGTCTGGGTGCCGGGCTGTGGCCCAGCTATGGGCCAAGGATGGGGACGAGCTGGGTGGCTGAGCAGGAGTGAGGGGCGGCACCCCTACCCTCAGTGTTGACCTTCACAGACAGGCAGCAGAAGCCGTCCACCCTCCGGAGGAGCCCCAAGGCCTGCTCCAGGGTTGTGTTCTCCAGGGTGGCCTTGAATGAGGGCTCCGTGGCCTCGTGATCCACCTGAGGGGCAGTGCCGGGGTCAGCACCTTGGACCAGGACTCTGCAGTCACATTCTGAGTTCAGAGAAGCTGGGCAGGGGCTTGGGGCAGGCATGGTGCACCCCTGCAGAGGGATGCTCTGGCCTCCTCGGCTGTCCAGGCACCTTGCCCAGATGCGGCCACAGCACTGGAGCCTCGTGGCAGGCTGTGCAGCAGGACAGGGAGGTGGGTCTGGAAGTTGTGTGGACTGCACCCAGCACATTCCTGGGCCCTGGGGGCCACCCACCAACCCAGCCCCGGCCCCTCACCCCTAAAGACCACATATCTTTGTGATATGCAGTTTCCTCTCTTGAAAATAGACTTCTGTTCTAGAACATTCCGGAGTGTTCCAGACCTGGTCTTGTCAGGCTTGAGACTCCTCACCAGGGGAGGGGCTGGCCCACTCTCTCCTGGGGGCTGTGGGTGTGGAGCAGCATCCTGGTGCTGACCTCTCAGTGGGAGGGCACCCCCCGCCCTCCCCACCTGTGAATACCCCCAACAGGGCCTCCACTTTGCTCTTGGGTTGAGTTTAGGAGAATGTGCATTTTTGCTATGAGATAAAAATTAAGCCATGTCTTAGGCCATTAGGACTGAGCTGGCCCAAAGGACACCAGGACTGTCTCCAGTACCACAGAGGGACTCTGCTACTTTACCACCCAGCTGGTGGCTGGGACTCCTGGGCCTGCAGAGATGTCACAGGGGCCTTCTGCCAGGGGTGGAGTGAGGGATACCTAATGGCCTCCTGCTAGGAGACAGGTGACTGTCCAAGCTAAGGACAGCTTCACCGTGGGCGGCCTGTGGCAAGAGGCTCAAAAGACACTTCTGCCAGGGCACCGGCCCACCCTGCCTGGCCCTTCTCTGGGCCCTCACCAGCCCCTGTCTCCTCCTGGCCCACGGTGAGCCTTGGGCAAGGGGGAAGCCTGCTTTGCATGTTTCTTGGTATAACATTGGTATATCTTTAATACTTGACGTTTAATAATTCTGCTTTTGAGGTCACATCACAGTCACCCTCCCTGCCCTGTGTACTCCATCAGTACATTTATGTTCTCTTCTGGTTTGCACATTTTACAATAAAAAAAAAAAATTGCTGAGGATCACAAGCCTCAGCAACTTAGTGAGGTCTTGTCTCTAAAATATAAAAGAGGGTTGGGATGTGGCTCAGTGTTAAGCCCCAGGGGTTCAATCCCAGTACCCCCCACCCCCACCAAAAAAAGAGTCCCTGGTCAGGGCTGGGGCACAGCTCAGCGGTGGAGGGCTTGCCAGCGCCCAAGGCCCTGGGCTCAATGCCCAGCACTGAGGGGGGAATTAAAGACCCTGTTCAGAACCACCCCAGGAGCCTTCTCACCTGTCCTGGAAAGTCCCAGCTTTGAGCTCCAGTTTCCCAGAGGCCAGGCTCCGAGAAGCTTGGCCTCCATCCTCCCCAGCCTCCCCTGGAGATGAGGGCACACCTCACGCCAGCCTGGTGGGGCTGCGAATCCACTCGCATCGCATCCTCCCCACTGTGACTTCGAGGAGGCTGGCGGGCGTGGGGCCTCGCCCGCTCTCACCATCATGATCTGGGTGCCCGGGCGCAAGGCCATCCCATCTGCCGCTGAGCCTGGAGTGACCCGGTGAATGAAGATGCCCGTGAGGTTTCCGCCAATGACACGGATCTGCTCCAGCAGGGCACGTCCCTGGAAGGCCAGCACCGTCACCTGGCTCAGGATCTTGCGGGCTGGCCTCCGCCGCACAGGGGCGCTGCTGCAGTGGGCAGAAGCCGAGCTCAGGTGCTGCCCAGCACAGGGCAGCCAAGGCTGTTTCCGCATCGCACCCCCATGCCCCGCCCTGGCATCTGGAATTCTCCTTCTCCACCCTCAGTGAGCCTGTCTCCTTGGAAAGGCTGTGCCCTCCCCGTGGTGAGAGGACGTGGTGGTCACGCTGGACTCTCTCAGCCCCCAGCTCTGGTTCCCCAGGCACAGCTCACCTTTCAGGGCTGTCCAGGCTCCTGGAGGACAGCTGCGGGCTGCCCTCAGGCTGGGGGAGGTCTGGGAGGAAAGTGGGAGCTTAGCGGTCACAATTCAGGGTCCCCCACTGCTGACCCCACTGGCCCTGTGCAGCCCCGGCACCCCACCCCCACCTCGACCCCGCCGGTTCGGCACCCCCTCCTGGTCCCCCCCTTTGCTGACCCTGGAAGGTCTTTTCCTCCTCCTCGTCCTCGTGCTTAGCACCTGATCTCACCTTTCCTAAAACCAGAGGGAGCACTGAGAGCTGTGTGTCTCGGGACACCTGCATGAGTGGCCGACATCTCTGGACCTGGGGATGTTTCTCCCAGAACCTGGATTTCTGATTTCACTTAGAAACCCAATCCAGCACGACTTTGGCTGGGCCTGCCTCTCCACAGGGCATTTCTGCACAGCTGCATCTCAGGCTGGCCAGTGGCCAGCAGACCTCGGCAGGTCAAGGACTAGATGCTCCCCTGGCTCCCAGGCTCTAGCCATTGACTTTGCAGCCCGTGAGCAGGAGGCAGGTGCCCTGGAGCTTTGAGCCTGTGTTTCTCACCCTGCAAATGGGCGGCGAGAACCAGCGGAATCCTCACGGCTGTCTGCTGTAGGAACCTGTGCTCAGCTCAAGGCAAACATCTATTTGTGATTGTGCTTAAAATCCCAATTAAATCAATCATCTGTACTCTGGATGTATGGGGGGTCAATGCCACTACAGTGTTTAAAACTGAGGCATCAGGCAGAACCCTGAGCGACAGAAGCAAAGAGGACCCAGCACTTCCAGGTCATGATCTCACAGCCAGCTGCTTGCCTTGGGTGCCACTGATACAAATAAAAACATGTCTGAGCCTGCAAGGTTAAGGTTTCTGTCACTGGCACCCACAGACCCACAAGGCCACCTGTGCAGAACAGTGTGGGGCACTTGCGCCCCCTGGTGGCCACAGGGTGCTCTGCAGATGGGAGCTAAGCACCTACTGTGCCGGGAGCCAGTATTCTCAAGGGGCTCGTGCACCTGGGAGGGGGAAGGGAGCAGTCCACTCACAGATATGAGGAATAAGCCCCAGGAGAATCAGAGACCAACACCCAAGAGCGGGGATGCTCCTAGCAGGTGGACCACAGCCTGTGGTGTGCCCCGCCAGGAGCAGCTGGCCACCTAAGCCTGTTAGTCGCCCCCTGACAGCCTGGGAGGCCCAGTGGTCCAGAGTAGAGCAGTGGGGGACACACACGCTCAGCTGGACATGGCTATGAATAACTCCCCCGGACTCTATGTGAGGCACAGAGACAGAGACCCCACTGAGCAGAGAGCAGCTGGGCTTTGGCCTGAGTGGCCAGGTGGTCAGTATGGACAAGGGGTGAGCTGAGGTCAAACTCACCCCTACCTGCCAGTCCTCAGGCGGTCTCATGTGTGGCCCTGCAGCTTGGCCAGCAGCCCGGGAGGGGTGGACACTGCAGCGGTCTGGGGGTGATCACACTCACCCGCCCTGTCCAGGATCTCATAGTCCAGGTCTGTGTCGTCCCCCTTGGCCCCCGGAGGGGCTCCTAGGTCTACCTCCAGGATTCCCGGGAAGCTTCTGTGAAGCACAAGGAGCTGCTCAGGTCATGTTGCCCGCTACTGCAGGGGCCTGGAGGCTCCAGTCCCTTCCCAAGCAACTGTGTCCATGCCCAGATGGTCCAGGGGCTAGCTCAGTGTCCCCCGTGAGCTGGACCTCACGGTTGCATCCCACTCTACCTTAAAGACTCGGGGTCTTCCCGGAAGTCCTCTGTCACCCGCTTATACAGGGACTGCTGGCTGGGAGGCATAGGGCTGCTGGAGCGGAAGCTGTCCATGGGTTCCCGGCTGGACTTGGCGCTCAGGTCCCACCAGAGCTGGGACTGGAGGAGGGCGGTGGAGGGTGGCATCACCGAGAGGGGGCGCGGGAGGGAAGGGAGAGCACATCAAGGTCCAGGCCATGGAACCAGGATCTCTGCAGCTGCTTTGTGATTAGTATCGCTGGGCCCTCAGGATCCTGCTGGGTGGGCATCCTGTTCCATCTGGTGCAGAAAGCAACCAAGGCCCGGAGAGGTGCAGTTCCTGCTGGTGAGGGAGGAGCTGGGCCTCCTGGAGGGAGGCTGCTTTCAGAGCAGGGTCTGACGAGGACCCCAGGAGTACAGAGTTGCTCTGAATTTACTGTCTGAGAATTCCCTGAGCACCTACTGTGTGCCGAGCCCTGTGCTAGTGTCAACGTACCCCTGAGGACAGGTGTTCTTCCTGGGGTAGGGGATCCATGGGCAAATGCACACCAGGGAGTGGGATGTGCCACAGCAGGGTGTGGGCAACATGGGTGGGGAAGCCCTGGCGCCTTCCTGGAGGAAGTGACAGAGGAGCCAGGTGGGCAGGCCTGGGGCTGTGGCACATTGCAGCTCAGGCCCTGGAGAGGCCCAGAGGAAGCCACGAGTGGGTTCCTGGGCCATCGTAGGTGCAGGAGGGAGGGAGCCAGTTCGGAGCTGCTGAGGCCCCTTTGCTTCCCAGTCCCTACCACGGCGGCCAGGAGGACTGTGCTACACCTGGGGCAGTGAGGGCACAGGGCGGAAGCCGCGCCTGCCCAGCGTGGGGTCTGGATGGCTCTGGCCATGGAGTCCTGGTGGAATGTGGAGTGGCCCCTGCTCTGTGTGTCAGGGTTCTGGGGAGGTCGCCTGGCTCTCCACAACTGTCCCAGAGGTTGGCCAGCAGGTGGGCCTGAGCAGGTTGCCCTGTGGGATGCAGGACAGTGTGGGGAGGCTGTCATGCAGGAAAGAGACACCAAGGTCAGCTGGGGCAGTGGCCCAGGGCGCTAGCCTGCCTCCGGTCCTCTCTCCCAGCTCATGGAACCCCCGGTCCTCTCTCCCAGCTCATGGAGCCCTTAGCAGGGGTGCCTCTGCCTCACCCTGGGCATGCTGGACCCACATGCCCTCCATGGTGAGACCACCTCTTGGCTTTGCCAGAGGATGTGAGCAGGTACGGGGGACTCAAGGTTCCAGAGACTGGAGTGGGTCAGACCACCCAGGAGCCCTCTGTGCCCAACAGAGTGCACCCCCAAGTTCACGTCCACTGGTGACCTGAGATGTGCCTTTGGGACTAGGATCTTTGTGTGAAATGGAGCCCGATGGAGACAGAATGGACCAGAGGGGCCCTGAGCCCCCCAGCCTGGGCCTCCCTGCCTGGGCCTCCCTGCCTGGGCCTCCCTGCCTGGAGTGTGCCCAGGGGCCTGGCCCAGCCTGTGCTGCTGCCGGAGACATGGAGCCTCCAGCAAGTGGGGCCTGAGGGAGGAAGTTAGGTTGTTGGGGGTGGCCCTCAGGGGTGGTGCTGGGACCCACCGCTCTCCCTCTCTGCTTCCTGCCGCAGTGACATAAGGGCTCTGCTCCATCACAGGCCCCTGCTGCCTCGCGCCACAGCCACAACAGAGCCAAGCAGCCACGGCCACACCTCTGGAACCGAGCCAAAATAAACCTCCTCCCATTAAGTGGCTGACCTCAGTCATTTTGTGTCGGCATTAGAAAGCTGACTAACACATGTTCTCAAAGGAGGAGACTTGGGCCCAGAGGCACCGCAGGGCTCATCGCAGGAAGATGCAGGCAGAGCCTGAGTGATGTGGTCACCAGCTGAGGAGGCCAGGAGCCACCCGGAGCTTGGAGAGCTAGCGGAGTGTGGCCCTGCTGACACCCTTTGATTCTAGATTTCTGGCCTCAAGAGCTGCCAAGGAATTGGTTCTCACTGACTGGGCTCTCCCAGTGGTATCGACCTCTCCCCACCGGGACAAGGGGGTGGAGATGCCCGTGGTCCAGATGGAGGGTGGCAGGGCTGTGCGTGGCAGAGGAGCTGGGCGGCAGGAGAGCTGCTTACCTCGGTGGAGCTGAGGAGGCTGCAGCTGCTGTCCACCCCTGGGCATACCGCATGCATCCGCACCAGCCGCTGCTTCCCCCGAGGGCAGGGCTCCCTGGCCTCCCTGGCCTCCCTGGCCTCTGGGGCCTCCCGGGCCTCCGCTTCCTGCTGGGGGCCAGAGGGGTCCTTAATTCAGGAAAGCTACCTGGGGTGCCCGGGGCTTTCCAGTGGGTCACTGCCCTGCAGTGTCTTTTCATAGGCTTCCAGGAAGAACAACCCCTGTCCTCAGAGCAGGGGACCCCAGCGTGCAGGAGCCAGCCACCAAGGAGACCAGCAGCACTGGAGAGGTGGCGTCTTAGAGAAGGCATGAGTAAAGACATGTTATATAGATACTTAACACAATTGTATTCTACATAGAAAACAGGGTGCCTGGGGGTACAGCTCAGTGACAGAGCACTCCGCCTAGCGAGCCCAGGGCCCTGGCTTCTGTCCCCAACGCCATGAAACACAAGAGCAGAGGAGAAAAAGGAAGAAGAAAGCGCTGAAGGGACCGAGCTCCACACCGACAAGGAGCATGGTTTGCTTCTTGGTGGCTGTCCCTTTACGTGTCTGTGTGTCTAACGCTGTTGGGGTGAGGAGGAAGAGCCACTGCCCCCCCACTCACCTCTGCTGAGTCCCCAGATCCAGGGTGCTTGGGCAGCGTTGCCTGTGGACCAGGACCAGAGGGCTCTGATCTCTGGGACCAGAGCTCCCTGTGCTACTCGCTCTTGGACATGACTCTGACATTTTGGAAAGCGTCATCTATGCACGGCTGCCCATGGAGCCGCTCTCCACCAGGACCCGGACCTCTGCTAACCCTGCCCGTCTGTAACAGGCTGGTATTTTCAGAAAAGGAGATGTGGCAGAGGCTGGGCCTGCCCGTGTGCTTCGTCAAGACATCAAAGCCCCACCTTGTGTGGGAACCGGCCGGCAGGCAGAGGGACAGCTGGATGGCCTGCCTGCCAGGGCTGCTGTGGCCCAGCCTGGGCTCAGCTCCTCCTCTCCAGCCCTCTTCCTGCTGCCTCCTTGAAACAGCCCTGAGCCTGGTGCTGCCCACAGAGCACTCACCCCTGCTGTGGGCTCTGCCCGTAGCTTGCAGAGCTGGGTGCGCAGCTCGCAGACCTCAGCGGTCAGCTCGAACACTCTTCTGCGGAGGGAGTCCTTCTCCGTCAGGCTCTGAGAAATCGCCAGCTGGGCTCTGTCCCTTGCAGAGTACGCCTGTGGGCCAGGACAGGACAGTCAGGAGGCTGGGCCATCAAGACGAGGGGCCTCAGCTGGAGAAAGCACCACTGCTGGCGGGCATTTCCCGGGAACTCTCCCAGCGAGGAGACTCGCACACCGTCCCCTTCACTCCGTGTATGCACATGTGGTTTTAATAAAAGCCACCATCTGGGCTGGACTTTCTTAATGTCTTGGGCAGGGAACGAAGGCAGGGTGTGTAGTGGAGGTGGGGGAGTTAAGAAACCTCGTGTAGACCAAGGAAAGGGACCTGGAAGTCTGGAAGCAGCCTCCATCCAGGACAGGCAGAGCCCGAGAGGGTCCCCCAACCAGCAGCCCTCAGCCTCACCCAGACACAAGTGTGAGGTAGCAGAGGTGGCACGGGCTCCCGAGCTGGACCAGCGAGGAGTGAGGGTGGCATGTGTGTCCTCCTGGCCCTGGCCCGGCTCCCGGGTACCTGGTCACGCTCCTTCTGCAGCTCGGCCACCTGGCCCTGCAGCGTGTTCATCTTCTCCCTGTACAGCTCACAGTCCATCTGTGTCTTCCGGAACTGGAGCAGGGTCTGCTCTTTCTCCTCCCAGTACTGGACAGAGGGGACAGGGCCCTGGAGGTCAGTGGCTCTGAGGGCCCGGGTAGGGGAGGGGCAGGGAGCGAGGGGGCAGGTGGTTCCAGAGGAGGGAGAGTGGACTCCTGCTGGTTTCTGCAGGGCAGGGTTAGGGGTGTGACAGGAGCCTTCCTGAGCTCAGGCACTGCAAGCACTGCACGCAGGTGGTGTTTAGCTTGATGTCACAATTTCCCCCACCCTGCCTCATCCCCTCCAACGGCTCCTTTCTCCCTGTTCTCCCCTCCTTTAAATCCCTGGCTGTTGGGGCTGGGGATGTGGCTCAAGCGGTAGCGCGCTCGCCTGGCATGCGTGCGGCCCAGGTTCGATCCTAAGCACCACATGCAAACAAAGATGTTCTGTCCACCAAAAACCAAAAATGTAAATAAAATATTAAAAAAAAAGAATAAATCCCTGGCTGTCACTCTGGCCTCCCCAAACCCTAGAAATCACCCTGGACTTCAGTGACTCTGCCTGGCTGTAGCCTGGGCTTGACCTGGCTCTGACCAAGCATCGGATAGAATGTGCCATTAAACTGGGTAAGCAAACCCGACGGCCCAGCAAGGACGCGGAGCCCGTCTTCCCACGGATGCAGCCTGCAGACATGGGGTCACCGGGTCCCAGGGGGGCTGCTGCTGCTCACCTCCTTCCGCTGCCTCTCCGCGGCCACCGCCCGCTCCCGCAGCGAGTGGATGCGGTCCACCAGCTCCTGCTTGCTCTCCAGGGCCTCGTCCAGGTTCTGCTCCAGAATGTCCTTCTCTGCCTGGTGGACAGAGAGGCCTGAGCTCCCCAGGGGCCCCCGGCTGGGGAAAAGGCCCCCAGCGCAGGAGCCCTCAAGGCCAGGGGTGTGGAGGGGGGTCACCCCACTACTGACCACCAGGCAGGAAGAAGCCGCGGGAAGGCCCCAGTCACATTTGGGAAAAGACGTTTCAGTTCTAATGCTGCGTGGTCAAGGAGTCAGAGGGTAAGGGAAGCTGGGGACGTCTGAAGGACAACTTCTTTAAGTCCCTTGACCTTCTCCTTCACACACTGAGCTTGAAGGAGGGACGAGCCAAAGGGTGGACTCAGCACCTCCCAGAAGGGAGCCCAGAACCATGGCACACGCCAGGCTCATGATGGTGTGCCAGGTGGCCAGTGGTGTTTATAGAGGGCATTTCTCACTAAAGATCTGCTTTTTTTTTTTTGATACCAGGGATTGAACTGAGGGCACTCGACCACGGAGCCACATCCCTAGCCCTTTTTCGATTTTTATTTAGAGTCAGGGGCTTTGAACCCGTGATCCTCCTGCCTGCCTCCTGAGCTGCTGTGATTTTAGGGGTGTGCCACTGAGCCCAGTTCCTTTCCCCGAGACTCAGAGTTAACCCCTCTTTTGTGGGAAGAGGAAGGAAGTGGAGAGAAGGTGGCGGAGGGCTGTGTGGCTGGGGCACAGCCCTTGTCCAGTGTGTGCCAGGCCTGGGTCCACCCCCAGCACACACACACATGTGGACACCCCCAGCTCGTGCCCAGGGGAGCAGCTGACCTGTGGAGGGAACGGAGCCTACCAGGCTGAAGGTCAGCGAGCGCAGTTTCTCATTCTCCTCCCTCAGGCGGGCCAGCTCCTCACCGCCCTCCTCCAGGTCACCGGCCATCTTCAGGGACCTCTCTCGAAATTCCCGCTCACAGGACGACACCATCTGCACCCGCTGCAGCTCCTGCTTCACCAGGTACAGCTGTCCAGGGAGGAGGGCGAGGACGCCAGGTGAGCAGCTTCTAGCCAGGACGGGGGCCTGGGGGCTTCTCCAGCTCGTCATCCAGGACGCTCTTCACACGCAGGGGTCCCCGCCAGAAAGGCAGCTCGGAAAGTGAAGGGCCACCCCGGGGCATGGAGCAGGGCGCCCCCCAGTGACTCTGCCTGGCCGTAGAAGAGGGACCCAGTCTGCGCCCACAGCGGGTGCCCGAGTTGGGGGAGGGGAGCCAAGGCCAGCGGTTGCCCAGGCCACCACCACGGCCAAGGCTGGGACAGGCTGGCGAGTAGGGGACACTTGCTGGTCCCCAAGAGCCTCCCCAGATGGCCTGTTAGTTGCAGGGGTGAGGAAGAAATGGCGATTCTGTCATGCAGGAAGCGGGCGGCACCTGACCAGAGGGTCAACGGCAGCAGCCCCTGACGGGCGGCCAGTAGCATGCCTCCAGGCGGTACCCAGTGGACCCAGCAAAGGTACAGAACCCCGGACCCTCTCTCGGAAACAGGAGACAGACCCCAACTCTGCCATGAAAGTATCAGTGGTCTTCAAACTCATGCGTCCCCCAGGCCCAGAAGGGCCGTGGGAGGTTCCAGACTGAAGAGGCTGCGAGGCAGGACAAGCAGAGCCACCGCCTGCCCCTGGCTGGAGAGAAGGGCCCCAGGGGACTCCATGTGGGTAAGTGAGGACATCGATGCAAATTAACAGAAAAGAGAGCTGTGTGCTCACATAAGAAAACACCTGTTTTTAGGAAATACACTTTTCAATGTTTGGGAATAGAGGGCCACGGGTATGGGCTGGGGATGTAGCTCAGTGGTAGAGCACGTGCCTCACATGCCTGAGGCCCTGGGTTCGGTCCCCAGCACCATGTGAAAATAAACAAATAAAGATATTTGGCCCATCTACAACTAAATACATATATATAAAGGCCACAGATAGAACTCTGAAGTTGGGGTGTGTGTGTGTACAGAGGGCCCTTAATAAGGGCATGGGGTATTCTCTGTACTATTTTAACTGTGGGTTTTTTTAAGAATAAAGTTGGGGCTGGGGATGTGGCTCAAGCGGTAGCGCGCTCGCCTGGCATGCGTGCGGCCTGGGTTCCATCCTCAGCACCACATACCAACAAAGATGTTGTGACCGCCGAAAACTAAAAAAATAAACATTAAAATTCTCTCTCTCTCTCTCTCTCTCTCTCTCCCCACAAAAAAAAAAAAAAAAAAAAAATTCCCCCCCCCCCCCCTCTCTCTCTCTCTCCTAAAAAAAAAAAAAAAAAAAGAAAGAACAAAGTTGAAGTTATTTCTAAATAAAAAGTTAAAATTCAAAACTTAAAACAAACACCTGGGGGCTTGGTGTAGCTCCCTGGTAGAGCACGTGCTTCACGTGCTTAGGTTCCAATTCTAGCACCAAAACAAAATAAAGCAAAAAAATAAAGGCCAAGATCACAGGATAATCCTCAATATTGAAAGAGCACGTATGAATCAATAAGAGGACAGTCTCCCAAGAGAAAATGAGCTGAAGGCACTGCCCTAACCCAGAGCCAGTGGAGGACAAAGGCAGGTGACAGAGATGTCACCGCACTCTTGGGGCAGTGGTCAAGGTGGGTCTTCTAATCTGGAGCCCAGCATAGCCAGACCTGCCTCCAGATGCTGTGGTGGGCAGCTCACACCAGGCCATCCAGGCCACGGGGAATTACAGGGCAGGGCAGGCTCGCAGCCGAGCGGGCTCAGCACAGCCCCTCAGGAGGCCCCTGGGAGAGCTGGGATCGACTTCCCGGGGGGTCTCAGTCCAGGGTCTGGGCAGGGAGGTGTGCACAAGGAAGAGGTCTCCGGGCAGGCAGACTGACGTGTAAAGGCCCCAGGGTGGGCAGCAGCAGAGTCAGGCTGGGCCCACCACCCGCAGCGAGGGCTGTCCCTGCTACCTCCTCCTGCAGGCTGCGGCCCCGCGAGGTGGCCAGCTCCTTCTCCTGCAGCGCGTTGCTGTAGTGTAGCGAGAGGCTCAGCATCTCGTCCTTCAGCTTCAGCACCTCGTGGAAGTGGGCGCTGAGCTCCCGCTTCATGCGGCTGTGGTCGGCCTCCAGTTGGCACAGGCCCTCGGCACGGGCCTCGGCCAGGCCCAGGCGCTCCTGCAACCTCTGGCACTGCCGCAGCACAGCCTCCCTCTGGGCCTTCTCCTGGGCCAGCTCCTCCTGCAGGCTGCCGATGGCCCCCGCCAGACACTCGGTCAGCTTGGACGTCTCCATGAGGCCTGCGGGGTGGAGGGCAGGGGTAAGGCGCTGCCACCTCGCCCGCCCCTCGTCTCCGGCCTCCAATCTCTGCATCCCGACCCCCATGCAGGCCCCGGCCCTAACCTGTGGTGGTAAAAGCTTCCAGGCCTCCATGGACTTGGTATCGTGGTTAAATGAACAGCAGGGTGCGTTAAATAAAAGCAGGCCCCACCTTTACCTAGACAGGTGTGCCAGGGTGCCACAGGTTCTGCTCCCTCTGCCTCTGAAAGGGCCTCTCAGCCCGTCTGAGATCTGGGACCCAGGACGGTGCTGTCCCATTGGCCTCCAAGAGAGGCCGGCCTGTGCCTCTCCCCTCTGGGATGCAGGTTCTCCTGGGGCTCTTAGAGTGCTGGGTGAGTGAGGATGGGCCTTGTAGGGCCCAAGGTCCAGGGTCCTTTTCCTGCCCATCCAGTGCATGGAGTAGGGGTGCAGGGACACAGACCATGGCCTCCATCAAGAGGAAGTTGGGGGAAGTCCTGACACAGGCCCTGCTCTCACCGCTGAAGTTGCTGGCATCCACGTCGGGCTGCAGCCCCGTGACCAGGGTGTAGACATCAGGGTTGTGGAACTTCAAGCTCTCCAGGAAGGCGATGGCGCCATTCTTCCCGCGGGTCTTCAGCAGGTCCAGCAGGTGCCCTTGGGGAGAGAGCATCACTTAGCTTCCAGGGCTCAGGGCGGGAGGACTGGCTTCCTGCAGGGAGGGCTGAGCGGAGTGTCCTTGACAGTGAGGGGCAGTGAGGGGCAGTGAGGAGGTGGAGGGCCTGGGAGAGGAGCCCTCTCTGCTGGAGGCTCGTGGAGTAGGACCTGGTGATGACTTGACCCCGCTCAGCTTCACAAGGCAAAGTCCACGTTTATCAACTCGCTGCTGGAGCGACTCCAGTGCTCTGCCCAGGGTGAGGCCTGCAGGGCGAGGTCACGCACAGACACACCTGGGGTTGTGCCCATAGATACCAAGGGGGGCCCCAGAGAGCCTTGGGGGCCCCCAAGCCCAGGCCCAAATCTCATATTTCTCGACTCCACTCATGGCTTGGATCCACCTATAAACCAAGAGGCGCACACACCATGGTCTTCATAGCTACCACTTATTGCCTGATCTTATGGCGAGGCAGAGTGTCTCCTCAATGGAAACTCGTAAAGCCATTAGCACGTCCAGTGGGACGAGTGAACACAGCCTGTCGGACCACTGGAGTGGGTTCCAAAGACATCTGTAGTGGGCTCCCAAGATGTCCACCTGAAATCTTTGTGTGTGAATTCCTTTGGGCACACGGTCTGCAAATGTAACTAAGTTAGAGGTCTTGGGGTAAGACCGTCCCATGAGAGCAGGTAAGCCCAAAATCCAGGGACAAGTTTCTCATAAGAGACCCAAGGAGACAAGACACAGGGGAAAGACCCCTCTGAAGGGGGAGGCAGAGCCTGGAGTGATGGGGCCACAAGCCAAGGGACACCTGGAGTCACAGAAGATGGAAGAGGCGGGCAGGGTCCTTCCCTGGAGCCTCCAGTGGGAGTGGGACCTGAGGCACTGATGTCGGACCTCTGGCCCGTGAGCAGACACATCACCCAGTGTGCGTCTGTGGGTGCTGCTGTGCTGGGGTCGGACCTAGGGCCTTGTTCATCTCAGGCCTGTGCTCTGCCACTGAGCTACCCTCCACCCCGTTGCTGGTTAGCGTCGTTGTCGTTGTTTTGTTTGGGTACTGGGGATGGCTCTGAGCTACACCCCAAGTCTTTGGTACTGGGGATGGCTCTGAGCTACACCCCAAGTCTTTGGTACTGGGGATGGCTCTGAGCTACACCCCAAGTCCTTTTTATGATCTATTTTGAGCCTAGATCTCACCAAGTTGTCCAGGCTGGCCTTGAACTCGGGATCCTCCTGCCTCAGCTGCCAGAGTTGCTGGGTTTATGGGTGTGCACCACTGCACCCAGCCCCATTGCTGTGTTTTAAATAATCGTGTTCAGGGTCGGGTGGCCCTAGGGGATTAACAGTGTTCCCAAAGTCTGCAACTCCCGTCCCCTTGGTGTTGTGCAGCCTGTGCTCCTGGCCCTGCTGTTGGCCCTGCTGGAGGGGCTTTACGGCTAGGGGCCAGGTGTGTGGCTCTGGCTGGGCAGGAAGAGCCCAGCTGGAGTCCAGGGGCTGGGGGTGCTGGGGCCCAGTTGGCGGCGCACCCTCCGGGCTCACCCACTCTCATGGCGCTGTTGGTGAAGCGGGAGCTGTGCAGGACCTCCTCCTCGTCCAGCTGGCCCAGCACCTTGGCCTGGCGCAGGTAGGGGGTGAGGCGGCTGGGGCAGATGCTGCGCACGATCTTGTAGCGGTGGCTCTCCATCAGCTCCCACAGCGTCTCCTCGTCCAGGGACGTCAGTGTGGAGTCTGTGCGGCACAGCTCCGCCATGCTGGGTGATGCCACCACCTGGAAGGGGCACAGGAGGGCTGGAACCCAAGAACTGGCTTCAGGGATCCAGGAGGACGCTGCCCACGTCGTGGGAGAGAACAGCTCAGAGAGGAGGGCAGGTTCCAGGCCCACATAGGGAGACCCTGTCTCAAAATAAAAATTAAAAAGGGCCGGGGGTACAGCTCAGTGGTAGAGCACCCCTGGTTCAATCCTCACCACCAAAAAATAAAACATAAAAAGGCCAAGGGACTATGGAGACAGAGAGGGCTCAAGCCAGGACTGCGCAAGGGTGGCTCCAGAAGCCAGAGGGCAGGAGGGCTCTTCCCAGGAGCCCTGCCGACACTTTGACCTGAGGTTTTGACCTCCAGGACTGTCAGAGAATACGAGTCTGTTTTAAGCAGCCCAGCGAGGGGCCCTGTTGTAGCAGCTCCAGATGCGAGGGCCGGGATACAGATGGCAGGAGAGCACCACAGAAACTGACGGAGAAAGAAGCCCCGAGGCCCTCGCCTCGCAGCTGGCTGGGCACGGGCTTCAAAAGGCGAAGAATCAGAGCAAATGGCGGGAGAGACAGGTTCCTGGAGGAGCCCAGTCGGCTCCACCACTGGCCTCACAAGCCCCAGCTCTGTTTGCACAAAGTGCATCCAACCAGTCCCTGCTCAAGCCCCTGAAGACTGGCTGTCCATGTGGCCCGCAGACCTCAACCTGTGGCCCAGAGGTCACGTGACCCTCCCCCCCAGGAGCACGTCCTGGGTGCCCTGGCTTTGTGGGTGAGCTGGGTTCACAGCTGTGTTCCTGCCGGGGTCTCTGCCTGTCCCGCTGCACTGGCTCAGGTCAGCCCATTAATCCACCTAAATAACATAAGGACGTTTCCAAACTGCAGACTGGCTCAAGCATATAAAACAGGTCCTGCCCGTGATGTGCCCACGAACCCACGGTGCAGCTTCCACACCAACATTTGGCACATCAGACTTCTGCTTAAGGAAATGTCACAGGGACTTGGAACCTGCCTTTGCTAAAGACAGACTCCTCACCGGGGCCTGCAAAGGTAGGGAACTCAGCATCTCCGCCCCAGTTTGCCTCTGGCTCCTTTGCCCTGCCTTGCCTTGATTCCAGGAGCAACTTGTGTAATAGTATTAGACATATGGACTGGTACGTTCCACCTGTTTTTAGGTTTATCTTCTTGGCCTATGAGCGTGGCACTAGGGGTGTCCCCAGGGCCTCTCGCGTGCCAGGCTGCACCCAGTCTGGAGGCTGACAACTGCAGTTCCATATGACGGAGGCCCATTTGACTCTGACTGCCTCTCTGGCTTGGTCTTTTCCCTTCTGAGTTCTCTTAAGCCACCCTCTTCTGCAGTCACTTTGGATTCAGGAACAAGTCTCACAGAATATCTTCTGACAAGAGGCAAAGCTATTCCCAGGCAACAGCAACTTTCTTTTTTGTGGGGGTAGGGGGTCCAGGAATTGACCCCATGGGTGATCTACCACTGAGCCACATCCCCACTCCTTTTATTTCTACACGGGGTCTCACTAAGTTGCTGAGGCTGGCTTTGATCTTGTGATCCTCCTGCCTCAGCTTCCCGAGCAGCTGGGATGACAGTAAGTTTGTTATCACAACAAAACCCTGCATGACTGATCCCGAAATAATGATGGAACAGTCCTGACCAAGATCACCCCGTCTGCCAGCTCTGCGACCCCCACCTGTGCAGACCCAACCCTGGCCTTCATGTCCCTTCCTATAAAACCTCAATGTCCTTGAGCCCCTTGAAGCCAGGGCCGAGGCCTCCCGGTGAACCTGCCCTGACTTCAGCTCTTTCCCTGCCTCTGCCACCCTCAGGTCTTGGTTTGGCATCTTGGAGTGCGTAGCCCGGATCAGTCCACTGGGACCCCCAGAGCCAGGCCTCTGCCCTGGAACTTTGGAAATGTGTTCACTCTGTTCCTGTTGAAGCTGAGCCTGGATTCAATATGCCAGGGGACACAGCTGGCTGAGCGCTGCTCCTGTGGCTGGACCGCACCAGCTGTCCTCCAGCACAGTGCTGTGCTGACCATCCTGGTGCATCTCTGGGCACAGCGGAGAGCATTTCTCAGGTCCATGATTCCCACTGTTTGATTCTCTTGTTTGGAATGACAGGCTGGACTAGCTGTAGCCAAGTGCTCAAGGAGAGGCCTGCACCCTGAGCACACCTGGAAATCAGGCCACCAGCCCTTGCAGACTGAAAATGGACAAGGATGTTGGAGTCCTGCCTCTGTGAAGAGCCAGCAGCCCATCCCAGAATCCTGGGCTGCAGCGGGTACTCACCGAGGGGCTGGGATCTGCTTCTGCACGCCCTCCAGGTGGTGGGATGGGGTCTGTCCCTGCAGCCACGGTCCCCAAGCCCTGGGCCAGGCGTGCTGCCCCTGGCTGCCGAGGGGATAGGGCTGGGCAGGAAGAGCCTGAAACCAAACAGTGCCAGATGACACTGTGACAGCTCTGTTGAACCACGTGACCTGCTCCAAAAGTCAAAGTTCAGGCACCAAAGACTAACACAGTAGGGAGAGAAAAAGAAAGTGTCAGGTGCCACTGAGTCACGGAACTCTCCCCCAGCGGGCACCAGGGTAAACTCTGCTCCAGGAACTCACAGGGGCATCCTGCCACGGCCTCCTCAGCCACTGGGTAGGCGGAAGCAGACTTCCAGAGTGAGTCTGAGCTTTGAACCCTGGAGCTAAGGAGGATGGAAGGCCACAGCCCTGACCAGTGTCAAAAGGCCTGCCTGGGGCCAGTTCCCGCTAACACCTCCCTCAAGCCTTCCTGTGCAGACAGGAAAAGTGCTGGAAGGGAGGCGGTGGGGCCGGCCCAGGAAGAGGCCAGGGATGAGGCAGTGGGAAGTGGGGCAGAGTAGAAAAGAACAGGAAGGTGGCAGGAACAGAGATAAAAGGAAGTCAGGAGGTATAGCTGAACCCGAAAGCCGTGCTGTGGCTGGCTCCTCCACCTCAGTCCCCAAGCCAGTTGTCCCTCGGGCCGTCACGCCCAGGTTTATGGGAAATCTATAAATCTTCACTCCCAACCTCAGTTACTGTAAGTTCACTTATGTAAGAAAATGACCTTGTGCCGTGTTAATTAGCCAACTTAATAAATCAGGTTAAGCAAGAGAGAGACATTATTTTAAAAACCATAATCCAGGGTACCTTCTGATGTTGTTTACTGGCCAGACCATGGAGACACCGTCACCCTGAGGACCCTCAACCAACCAGCTGGAGCACCAGACTCATGTCATTGTCATATGCCTTCCGGTGCCCACCTCGCCAAGTTTCCTTCAAGAGAAGAGCCTGGGAACCCGGAGTGTCCCTTACTCGGTAGATGGCCCACCTTCTCTCTCCAAGGTGTCTCTGCTTTCCCAACACATCTCTGCTATGCCTCCAGCTGATGTGTCCTTAAATTCATTTCTGTGACATTTGTCAAGACCCCCCATTCATTCTGGGTTGAGGTCCCCTCTCCACCAGGCCTCCCCCAGCCGCAGGCCAAGCTGGAGAGCAGCTCAGTCCTGGCTTCCCCTGGGGAAGAGTGATGCATGTGTGTGAGCCAGGCGGGGCCGTGTCCCCCAGTAGACGTGTGAAAGCCCCAACCCCCAGTAGCTGTGAGCATGGCCTTGCTTGGGAATAGGCCTTTGCAGATGAAACCGAGTTGAGGTCAACCCTGATCCAAAGACCGGTGTCCTTCCAAGAAGAGGAGGAGAGACACAGACCCAGGAAGAGGCGACTGTGGAGCTCAGAGGTGGGAGGGGTGCTTGCCCAGGCCAGGGGCGCCCGTGTCTTCTGCCACATGGAACCTGTGAGAGCCTTCTTGGGAAGCATGACCCTGCCGGCCTCCAGGATTATGGCCAATCAATTCCTGCAGTTGGAAGCCACCCAATGTGCAGTGATTGGTTCCAGCAGCACAGGAAATGTAAGCAGTGCCAAGGGGATTTGGCGGTGGGCCCAAGCCCTGCAGTGCCCCTTGCCTACTGCAAGGAGCCCCAGCAAGCTCCCGGGATCTCCACTGTCAGTCTGCACGACTGGATTTCCATCCTCAAAATCAAAATGGCCTGCTCCACATCAGGACCAGAGCCCAGAGAAGCGTGGGAATATGCTGCACTTGTCTACGAAAAATATCCAGGTTTTCTAGAGCGCGACAGCTGAGCAACAAGCCTGGTGCAGACTCTGGGCTCTGGGCAGGCCCCCCCGGAGGCCAGCCCTGTGGTGATTGGTGGGTGGTCTCCAGGTGGTAGCTAGAGGGTGTGGGATGGTTTTCCTTAGTGTAATGAAAATGTCCTGCAGAGGCCGCATTGACACCGTCTGCGTGCATTGGGAGCACTGGGCTGTGCACCCTGACCAGGGAATCACAAGGCATGTTATCTACAGTCCATAAAATGTTTAAATAGATCCCGGAGCTGCTGGTGGCCCTGCCTACCCCCTGGCCAGGATACTGAAGGGGGGCATCAGGTGGTCCCTGGGGTGACCTGGCCTGCCCTGCCTCCCCAGGGCCAGCCCTGGCCGTGCACAGCGGGTGAGACACCCACCTCTTCTTGTGCTTCCCTTCCCTTCCCAGGCCTGGGCCCATCACAGCCACACCTGGCTGCCCAGCGTCCAAGCTAGCCAGTCCCCTCTCTTCCTGCTCCTGTCCTCAGGACCTGGTGCCACCTGTCACCTCCCTCCACAGCCTTGCTTCCTCATTCCAGAACCCGGGAGCTCCCAGGAACTCCTCTTGGCTCCTGTGGAGCGGGGATTCCCCTGGCTGTGCACTTGTTAGGTGACAGTAGAGGCAGAGTGAGTGCCGCCACCTCCCTGGGTCAAGCTCAGGTCAAGCTCAGGTTGGGTCCAGTGCTACACCAAAGATCAGTTGCAGAAACACTCTCCCCAGTTCCCGGCAAAACACACCAAAAATTGCTTCTAAAAAATGTTTAAAAAGAGAGAGAGAGAGGGAGAGGGAGAGGGAGAGGGAGAGGGAGAGGGAGAGAGAGAGAGAGAGAGAGAGAGAGAGAGAGAGAGAGAGAAACAGCCTCCTGCTTTGGTGAACAGCAGGAAGCAGTCAGCACAGTGCGGCTGGCACCAGGGAGGGGCAGGGCCAGGGCCAGAGCCTCCAGCGCCTGCCCACCTGTGGGGTGGCACACCTGGGCGTCTGGGGAGCTCAGAGCAAGCCCTCTTACCTGGGTACCTCCGACCTTCGAAGGGAGTCCTCAACAGAGGGCAGGGCTGGCACCTTGGCAGGTGACCTGCTGGGGTCCAGGGTCTGTGCTGGCCCCAGGAGGAAAGCCCATGCCCATAGCCCATCCAGGAGCTTCATATCAACGACACCTCTGAGCGCCACCCTGGTGACAAGGCAAGTCCCAGACCAAATACGAAGATCCTCCACCTCGACCAAGTGAAAGACAGTGCAGGGACAGGAACCCGACAGGGCGGGCGGGATGTGCACTTGCTCTTTCACGGGGATGGGACATGGAGATTCTATACACATCTCTCATTCACCAAAGTTTTCATCGTCTCTTATCTAGATCTTTGTGGGAATTCAGAAGAACTAATAATTCTCACAGGTGAAGCACTCATGCTGCTTATTCATTCTGTTAAATCACAGACACACACCCATGGACACACACACACACACACACACACACACACACACACTTGCACATGACAGGTGGATTGGATGACTGGGACAGCGTCCTAGTGCAATTAGTAACCACGTCCCCCTTCGTCTCTGAAAGGCGACTTGGTTGGGTGGCAAGTTGCCACAGGAAGGGGACTCCCAGGTGTCAGAGGCCCAGCCACAGAGGGCTGCCGGCGCAAGGGCTCCGTTCCTGACTTCCCCTTGGTCCCAGGAGGGTGGTCACCCTTCAGTGTGCATCGCATGGGAGGGCAAGAGCAGACCTCAGGATGACAGGTGCCAGCCAGGGGGAGGTCTGGGAAAGCCATGGGGTGGGGGCAGACTTGGCTGGGCTGGGACTGCCATCGTTAGAGTGACCTGGTCTCATTCTCGGGGCAGGAGTTCCTGACTTTCCATGTCATAGGGAGGAGTGGAGCACCTTCCTAGAATCTTGACACTTCCTCCCAAATCGTTCATGCAATGTCCTTTTAAACAGGTGCCCAAGCCTCAGAAGCAGATGGGAAATGTGGGTATCCCCAACTGACCCTTTGAACCAGGGTCAATGGTCCTGCAATTAAGTTGGCATCAAAGAACCAATGGCCCCCAAACCAGGGTTTGCAGAATACTTCTTTTTAGCAATTTGCCCTTTAGCCTGCGCCCCCACCTCTCACCACATTGGTACCTGAGGGCCAGGCTCCAGCTGTAGGTAAAACTGGGGCAGCTGCAGACACCTGGGTTTCCCAGGAGGCCCTGAGGACCAGGCATGCTGGGACGTGAGCCCTGAGGGTACATGGGGCCTTGTGGGGACTTCCCTGGGCTGAGACAGTAGTCACAGCCAGCCCTGCAGAGTTCTTCTGACCCCACCTGTCCCCAGAGGGGAGCAGGACTCCTGCAGAAGGCCTGATGACTCCTTGAGCCATCTCACCCCTCATCAAGCTGAACCTCAGAAGTCAGGCAGAGCTTCTCCAGGACTCTCCAAATCCCAGCCCTGCCCAGGGTTCTGGGCCCCGAGCTGCACGGGGGTGAGGGAGTACGTGGGTGTGTCCAAGCACTGACCATTCTAGTCCAGTCTGGGAGGAGTAGGGCAGCTTACCCTGGATCCTCAGATGGCAGTTTAGAAAGTGGGAGTGAATTTGTCACTTGCCTTCAGTTTACATAGGGGTTAGCAGAAAATAAACTCAATCCAGCGTGCTAGGGGGTTCCCAGCTCCAGAGGGGTCTCCTCTCACTCTGGGCAGTTCCTGAGCAGTCTGTGTGCACCAGTCCCACGCATCTGAGCAACACGTCCTACAGCTGGACCCTCCCTGAAACCATTCCTCTCAGACCCCATGAGTCACTCTCCTGTCTTGCCTGGGAAATCAGAAAGGAGAAAGCTCACATGTGACACACACACACACACACACACACACACACACACACACACACACACTCCATTCAGGACTCCAGGACAGACAGGGATTTGTTAGGAAGAGGTTAGGGGAACTGATGGCTTACAAATGTGGTGGACAAGGCAGACGGTCACCAGGCACAGAGGGAGGGGCTCCCTTGCACCCCTCGGCTCAAATCCAGCACCTCCGAGCCAGGGAGCATCTGGCTGAGCCTCACCTGCCTCACTGCCAGAAGCCGGCAGCTGCCTCGCTCACGGAACACCTGCGTCGGCAACCTCCCGCCCCTTCTTCCTTCCTGAGCAGCAGCAGGTAGGAGAGCCCAGAGGCAGGGTTCCCTCATGCTGTGAGGGGTACTTAGCCAGAGCGTGCCATCACTTAACCCAGCTCAACGGGACAAGCCTCTTCTCTCTTCCACAAACCAGGCACCACCCCCAGTCCTAAAGAGGAAGAAGCAGCCCCTCTTGCCCCCTGGGACAGCCTGGGGCCCCATCCTGACCCAACAGTGGCCATTCCTCTGGTATCCTGACCTGTTCTTGATGGACAGACTCCACGCACTTCCCAGCAGCACTGACCGGCCCAGTCTCAGGCTGGGCTAAGCAGCAGCTGATGAGCAGGTTTGGCGGCAGTTCTTCTGGGCTCTGCCCACAGAGGCAGGCCTTATATGGGGCCCTCCACTGAATGTCAGAACGTCCCACCTCCCACCGTAGGCGTCTGTTTGGCTGATATGAGAGTGACCATACACTGTCCCTGTGACAATTTCCAGGCATCTGGGTGACCCACAGGAGGCAGCTGCTGAGGGGTGATGGGGATTTCAGGGGGCAGGGGAATCCTCTCTGCTTTGTCCACATCCCAATTCATTGTCATTCCTACCTCCAAAAAATCCCAGGGAGATTAGGATAATTTCTGTGCCTTCTTGGTCCTTATGGTCAATCATGGGAAGTATCTGAATAATTCTGATGAATTAATCTAAAACCAGCATCTCCTAACTATGATTTAGGTCTACATGAAAGCCTCCATGTCGAGGTGCATCTGGAACCTGGTCACTTCTCCCCACATGCGTTGCAGGGCCCTGATCAAGGCCCCCTGAACCTCTGCAATGATCCTGTTCCAGTTCCCAACCCAGCAGGCACAGCCAAGGCTCCTCCCTTGGTGTATGGGCCCTGAGATCTCAGCAGGACCCAGGAGGCCCTGGCACTTCCCTGCATTCTCACTGTTCCAGACTAGGGGGCTCTCTGTGAGCCTTTCACTGCTCCAGGTACACTCTGGCCCCAGGGCCTTTGTGCTTGCTGTTCCCTCTGCTTGGAACACTCTTTCCTCCACTTCCTTCAGGGCTCCACTCAAAGTCCACCTTCCCAGAGAGGCCTTTCCAGATCACTCAACTTTAAACTGCAGTCCTCTCAACCTGGCCTGCCCTTTGCCTTGTCCTGGTCCCTTTTTCTCTGTTGGGACTTGTTGCCCCTGATCAGTGGTGGATTCTGGCTACCTGCTGGTTTCTTTTCTTTTCTTCTTCTTCTTTTTTTTTAATGAATGTTTTTGTCCTTTATTTATATGTGGTGTGTCAAACCCAGTGCGTCACACATGCCAGGCAAGTGCACTACCACTGAGCCACAGCCACAGCACCCCCCCACCCCC